GCCCCCCCCCATGTGTACTAATGAGGAAGAAAGTGTCGTCTTGTCCAGGGGTTCAGGGTGGGTATCATCTGCTCCAGGTGGCAGATCTGGAGCTGACTTGTGGTGAGCTGATGTTGGTAATTCGGAGGCATTTTCTGATTCTTTATCTGGGTCGTTGTCCCTTGGACCGATTCCTTCTTCCATGGCAAGCCTTGGCCCTGGCTAGGTTTCCCTCTCCCCCGGCTGCTGTTGGGGGCCACCAGTGGGGATTGCTGTCCACAGGCTTCAGGATTTAGCTGAAAGGACTTCCACTTTGAATAGAAACTCAGCAGTGCTGAGCCGTTTATCTTCTGTGTGTTCACCTATCAGCTCTTGGATCCTTCCCCTCTTATTGATTGATTGATTTGAAAGAGAGAGAGAAAAACAGAGAAACATCAATTTGTTCCACTTATTTATGCATTCATTGGTTGATTCTTGTATGTGCCCTGATGGGATCGAGTCCACAACCATGGCATAGTCGGGACAACGCTCTAACCAACTGAGCAACTCTGCCAGGCCTCCTTCCTCTCTATATGATTTGTACCCTTAACAATCGAAAGACTTCTTTATGGCTTGTGCTGAGGGTGGTGATGTGTGTCTTTCCAATTGCTAGCTTCCTTGGAAATACTGACACATACATGCTCCAGCGGGTCCCAAGCATCATTGTCACAGTTATGTTCTGTACCCCAGGTTCCTTGGAGGTGGCGGAGAGAAGTTTAAAGAGAACAACTAGAAGTGAAGCTGTAGAACAGTAATAATCTTCAGCATCCGAAAGGCTGTCATCCTTTTACTTTGCACTTGCCCACGTGTTGGATGTTTAGGAAAAAACCTCCTTTGGATGACATTCTACTTACACAATTGGGTAAAAAGCAGTTGAGCTGTAGGAAGTGTTTTGCATGTGAAAAGTTTTTGTATTCACCTCTTTTCTTGCTAGCTTTCCAGGTCACTGTGATACCAAATTAAAACAGGACTACACTGTAGTTAAACATTTGTCTGCGTAAGTTTTGGGAGGCCAGAAATTCACTTCAAAATATTAATACACATTTTTACACAACTTATTTTTTTATCTTGGTTTGCTGTACACCCTTTGCTTCCATCTCCCATTATATGTACTGTTCACTTGTTTTTTATTTTATTTATTTATTTATTTTTTAATATATCTTTGTTGATTTCAGAGAGAGGAAAGGAGAGGGAGAGAGAGAGATAGAAACATCAATGATGAGAAAGTCATTGATCAGCCACAGCCTGCAACCTGGGCATGTGCCCTGACCGGGAATCGAACCCCGATCTCCTGGATCCTAGGTCGATGCTCAACCGCTGAGCCACGCCTGGCCGGGCTACTTGTTTTTTAGATCTGCCTACTTTTTATCCTGCTCATTTCCAATAAAATTAACTTAATAGCTTTAATGTGGTGCTAATATGTGATGCTTCCTAAAAGGTATAGATAGTATAAATAAAAAAATTTTTTTGAAGGAAACTCTTCTGTTTGCTAGCCTCAGTAATTGTTTTAGTGACTTATCTCTGAGTAAAATGGACCCAGTTTGGGCCTTTACTATTTTGCCATCCCTAGTAAGGTGCCCTCTCATCTATACAGTTTTCTTTCATCTTTGGGAATGATTTCCTTTAAAATATTTTGTGGAAGAGGTTCACTCTTCTCAGTCTGTAAAAGGGTTTTTTCACCTGTTAAATGAAGAGGGGTTTGGACTAGAAGTTCTTCAAAGGGCTGGCCAGCTCTAAATGTTCAGTTGGTTCCACAGTGAGCCTCTGCAGGGGAGATGATTCAGTTAGCAGACTGTCTCCTGTGGCCCCACTTCACCCCCAGACACGTGCATCTTCTGAACTTTATTCTTGTCTCAGAAAATACTTGCCAGTAGGGCACCGAGCAGAAACGTAAATTACCATCTTCATTCTATATATCTGTACTGTTTACTATATAATATCACACATAGTTAAAACACTTGCTGTCATAAATTGCTAAGAAATATTTTGTCAAATTATATCCTAAATTTTTTTTTACTCCTCACTTAAGGATATGTTTCCACTGATTTTTTTTAGAGAAAGAGTGAAAGAGAGAAAGAAACATTGGTGTGAGAAACGTCAGTTGGTTGCCTCCTGTACCCACCCTGACTGGGGATTGAACCTGAAACCTAGGTATGTGCCCTGACCAGGAATCGAACCCCAAACCTTTTGGTGTACAGGAAGATGCTCCAACCAACTGAGCCACCTGCCCAGGGTGATATCCTTATTTTTATAACGTAACCCCCATCTCTTAATTCTTATTCAAGGGGTTCATCACTTACAGATAAATGTAAGTTCCATGAAGACGAGGGAATTTTATTTGTTTTTATTCAGACATCTGCAGCGCCTATACCAGTGCCAGCCAGGATCATAGAAAGTGCTCAGTAAATATGATTTGAATAAAAAATGTGATTTGAGATTTAACTTGGTTTTTATTTAATGCCAAATCAAACATAACTACAACTTGAATATTTATTATCCAAGTGATAATTATGAGAATTATTTGATAACATCCCAAACTTGTATTTCTGTTTTTTCTTTTTAACAACCTGTAACTGCTGTTCAGTATGTTAGCCACTGCCTCCATGTGTATACACTTTTGACTTGAAATGTGGCCAATAGAAATTGAGATATGCTGGTGTGAAATAGATACTGGGTTTCAGAGACTCAGTAACACAAAATGTAAACTATTTTATTCATTTTTAATATTGATTGCATGCTGAAGTGATAATATTTTGCATGTATTGGGTTAAATAAAAATTATTATTAAAATTAATTTCACCCTTTTTGGGATTACTTTTTAAATGTGCCTATTAGAAATTTTAAAATTACATACATGGTTCTTTCTGATTTGATGGCTCATTGAATAGTGTGATATGAACATAGAAACGTAGAGAAGGGAGCAACCTTCCAAAAGGAGTTTTAAATGAACATCTTTGATAGAAACAAAATTATATGTTGCAGCTGTGACTTGGAAATGTGGGTATTCAAATGGTCTTGATCAAATTAAAAAAGACCAAAATAAATTAATTAGATTAGCTCAAATGAGAAATATGAAATCCAGCCACCAGATGGATTCCTAGCATAGTCGCCAGCCGAGTCTTGAGGTCAGGAAAGGGGCAGGGAGGCGGTGGTGGCTGTCCGAGCAAGTGTGAGCAGCCACTAATGACAGACTAAAGCCATGGTTTTTGAACAACTCTGCCTGGAGCTCACCTGATTGTGGTCCCAGTTGTGGTGGGCAGCGTGTTTGCTTGATTCCAGGTAATGCTGTTGTTTTTCATGCCACTGGGAAATGGACTCTCAGTGGCAGGGAGGAGGGAAGTGGAAGCCCAAGTGTCAGGTAGGATTACTTTCAGTGAGTGTTCTGTTTTGTCCATTCCCACGCCTGTAGGCAAGTTCTGTTTCCCTTTCTGCTCAACTCCGTTGCTGCTTCTCCAGGCTGGCTGTGCCTCTGCCCGAGTGAGTGGACCTGACCATCCCCTGCCTCTGGGCTCCTCTCCCCAGAGCTGGCTGCATCCAGTCAGTAGCATTTCCTCAGTGGCATGGGGTAGACCCTGGAGGGTGAAGCCGTTATCCTATAAAAGCAAGGCCGTCCAGGACATACAAGTAGACATTACCTTCCCTAAGCTAATTTGAAAGGTTATTTTGGTAAGTGGTTAGTCTGCGTGGCTGGTTTAAGCTATTATCAAGTCCATTTCAGTATTTATTTCCTTGAAAGCTAGAATGAGCCTTGAATAATGAAGACTGACTGCTTAGGCTTTTTAGGAGTAAATTTAATTTATATGTATTTGTTTTATTTGACACTGGAGATTTCCATTCTCTCTCTCTTGGATTTTGAAGTAGTTGTGTAGTAAAGCAGCGTGTCTGTAAGTAAAATGGCTTTCGTGCTCATCTCATTTTCACCCATCTGACCCATGTTTTTGGAGAATGTACATCAGAAAATTCATGGCAGTTAGCGGCAGAGTGAGGAGACCTTTGCCTTTAGCTGACAGCTGTCACCTGAAAACTATAGACCCAGAGACCCCCTCAGGTGTTATGTCTGTAGTTCTGACAGTGAACAGGAATGATGTTTACATTCTCTGTAAGCAAAATTCTCCCCTTGTTAGGAATATGTTAGAATAGGGCAGGCAGGAACCGATTTTTTATCTGTCTTATTGGTAAGCCCTCAGCAGTGGCCCGTTCATCCTCATGCTCACAGAGAAGTGTGTCAGTGGAATTTATGACTGAGCCTGTTCATAACATCACTTTGGAAATTCTTCCATAGACATTGTTTTTTCAAGTTGGGCAAGTATCACACAATGCTTAATGTGCTTATGAAAGAGGGAAAAAATGAGTTAAATTCCAAAGATGTTTAGGATTTCAGACATTTTTCCTGTGAATTAGTTCTTTATTAAGTTGTTCATTTAATTAGCATTCAACAAAACTTTCCTGTTTTGCTTGTTGAAATACTCTATACATCGGTTATTTTAATCGGACACAGATTAGGAACTGTTAGGAACTGTTTGAATAAATTGCGGACCATTGGATAGTGTATAACCTGTGCCATGAGCACAGTGTGCTGACGGATGTGCCTGCCCCCTTTGCCCCCTACCTGCTCATGTCCTGCGTTGTCCCAAAAGAGGTTAAGACAAGGGTAGGGCTGCTTGGGTATTTTGAACTTCATTGTTTTAAAAGTATTTTCAGTTCTGACCAGTTTGGGGGAAAGTTTTCTGTTTCTGTTGATGAGAACAGCCATCGTCTAGAATCTGCCCTTCCAGCTAGAGCCTGAGTGGTCACATGGGCCCCTGGTTCATCACCAGAGCCGGTGCCGCTGGGTGAAGAAGGGGCCTGCGATCGGACCCCCTCTGCCCGCGGGGCAGGCCGGGAGCAGGGTAGGCCCAGGGCCGCAAGAGAGGCCGGTTCTCTTGGCACATGAGAGCTTTGCTTCTGGTCCTGTCTGAGTCTTGTATATTCCTGCCATTTAATGTTATGAAATTAGGAATTTATTTTACCCTGTAAACTTGCTCTCCCGCGTCGTGATGAACGCTTTTTCATCCGACGCCTCTGTTGCTGTTAGATAGTTGTACGTGGGCCGCAAATATCTAATTTGTACGAAATGACTGATTTTGGTATTTGTATAATCCTCCAGTCAGTTTAACCGAGCTGAGCTCTTCACAGCCCTCGGTGCCGCGGCCGCTCATCTGATTACACCGCTCAGGGGAATACGGTTAAGGGCGGGCTGTTGGTAACCAGAGCATTTCCAGGGCTGTAGTTCAGCAGATGGGCGGCTTGGCTATATTCATGCATCTGCTTGCCTGCTGTGGCAGCTGCTGCTGCTTCATGTTGTGTTCTTTTGTTCTGTTCCATCCAAGAATGGAACGCTAGGAAGTGTAGTGAATGGATTAATTTAAGGTTAAGGTTAGTGTTTTGCTTGCTTTCTAAGTAACCGATCATAATAATGCTTCTGGTAGAAGCTAATGAGTTTCTCTTAAAGTGAACTAGATTTAGAAAATACAGCTCGGCAAGGGGGCTCGATTAGTATTGTTGATGGAAACCAAATTCAGATGTGTAAAAAATACTGGCAGTTTTCGTCATTTGTTCCTAATTCTTTGTTTTCTTTCTCCCTTCCCCCTCCCCGCCTCCCGCTCCCTTCCAGGACCTCTGTCCAGACTTTGCCTGCCACTGCAGGGTCCAAGAGCATTAAGGAGATATGGAAGGACGTGAAGAAGATTAGTTAAGGATTACAGGCGTTGAGGACGAACACCTCAGTGAAGTGAAGCACAGACAAGCTCCTGAGCTGTAGTTTGGAGGAAGGAGCCGTGTGTCGGCAGAAGATGGCGGACCCGGGAATGATGAGTCTTTTCGGTGAGGATGGGAATATTTTCAGTGAAGGCCTCGAAGGCCTCGGCGATTGTGGTTACCCTGAAAATCCAGTGAACCCCATGGGCCAGCAGATGCCCATGGACCAGGGCTTTGCCTCTCTGCAGCCGTCCCTCCATCATCCCTCCACTAATCAGAATCAAACCAAGCTGACCCATTTCGATCACTATAATCAGTATGAGCAGCAGAAGTTGCACCTGATGGATCAGCCGAGCAGAATGATGACCGGCGGCCCCGGGAACGGACTCGCGTCCCCCCACTCGCAGTACCACACCCCTCCCGTTCCCCAGGTCCCTCACGGCGGCGGCGGCGGCCCGATGGGCGTCTACCCTGGCATGCAGAACGAAAGGCACGGCCAGCCTTTCGTGGACAGTGGCTCCATGTGGGGCCCCCGGGCCGTTCAGGTCCCGGACCAGACGCGAGCCCCCTACCAGCAGCCGCAGCCGCCCC